GGGAAAGAGGGGTATGGGTGTGTGTTCTTAGCTATGAGGAGAGAGAATTTTTGCCCCCTTAGAAAGTTTTTGTTGCAATGCAGAAATCTACCAATTTTTGCTCTGGTTATCTTCCAGCTTAGTTCTTCCTTGTCATATTTTTCAGTACCCCAGCAGGGCTGTCTTTGTCCTGTCTTTGCCTGTCTTATCAGGTTTTGAGTCACCGGGGCTGCTGAAAACAATCAGTGCAATTTCTCAACCACAACGTGCACAACATTGTCAACCACAGAATTATAATCTCAACTTGGACCTGTTCTATTTTCCTCTCATTTCCATACGGCATCTTTCTTCAGAGATTCTGAAGATTCTGAGATTCTACATTCTTCTAATGCAGCACTTATTTCTCTGGGTCCTGATCCTCTAGGAGAGGCCGATACTCTTCTATTGCTCCTGGTGTCCAAGGATGCAGAGTGTACAGAAAACCCTGAAGAGTATTTCTGCTTTTCACAGAGACTTTGCAGGTCTCCCTACAGCAAGCATGAATGCAGGGAATCGTCAAATAAAGCAGTGAGATGAGATAAACTCTTTGATATGTGTCTACTCTGCATCACAATATGACAGGTGAATCTCACCATGGATTTCATTATGAAACAATGTTTGATTTCTACAGAAGGCAGTTTTTAAACAGAAGAACATCAACAGAAGTAAAAGATCTCCATCCACTATTGATAGCTGATGTATCTTTTATATTTAAAGCTTTTATGTCCATCAATTTTTATGTTAAAAAAAATTATTACTGCCTATAAAGGTGGTTTAAGCAGATTCTGTGTATCCTCTCTTCTAGATGGAATCAACCCATTATTACTTATGAGATGATTATTTTGCACTTAAATATTTCCTTACACTACTGCTTAGCAAAATCAGTGGTAGACTGTGACATCCTCACATTTCACAGCTTGCTGGAGAGACAGAAAACCCCACAACTGTGTTTGACCTTCAGTCTTTATAAGTCAAGATGTGAACACAATTTTCAGAATTTATTATTATTTTTTTTTTCCATGTAGAAATATCTCTTCATAATCAAATCTAATCTCTGCTAAGTGTAGCAGACTTTCCTGATACAATACGAATACTTCAGTAGAAACTGTTCTAATTCTTGAAAGTGATTTTCACTTAAACTTGTTTTTTTTTTGTTTTTTTTTTTTTTGTTCTATTGACATTATTTCTGTAAATCTGTCACATTTAGGGTCAGGACTGCCCTCAGACCTGTATCTATGTTGTATCTATAAGGAAAAAATGAAAACTCCCCATCACCTTTGTCTGGTGTAATATATGTTCAGTTATCTTTTGGTTGTCCATAAAATGCTTGGTTTTATCTATGCCCAGGAGTCTGCAGCTCTAGCTATTCTTTCTTCCCTATTCTTTTAACTGTGGATTCTTGTAACTCAACCTATGACCTAGCTCTCATTCTGTGCTATGTATGAAACAAAATAGCTTCAGAGAAGGACAGTGAGGATATCTCTTCATGCCACTGTTTCACCATGGTGGTTTGACTGCTTGTCAATGCTTGAATTTCAGTCTCCTGAACCAGTTTATCACAGTCATAAGTTGTTAAATATTAATATAATATTAATTAAATATTTAAAACCGCTGCAGAAATCTTGTGAACTCTCCTTGTTGCTTGCTAACAATTCATCAAAATAACTTCAAAGAATTAGTTTTAGCCTAGCAAGGAAATGCATACGTCTCACTGCAAGATGAATAGTGAACCGATAAAATTGTTAATATACTTCATGCATCTTCGAAAATGTGAATGTAAAAAGATATTGCTGCTTAACATCCTTTTAAATGTGAACGTGAACTGTGTAGGTGTATTCCAAAAGTGCTGAATGCTAGAATAAATAAATAAAAGCACGCTAATCACCCTTCATATGCAAAGGTCTCTACTGCCTTTATTACCTGGACTTAAACGATAATTACAGAGGAAAGCAAAACAGAGATTTACATTTTATGCATCTCTCAGGTCACTTCTTAACCTTGGATTCCTCATTCCTCCTCTTCTACCTTCTTATGAAACTCCCGGCTCTTGGCCCGGAGCTTGTTGACCTGCGACTCTTGCAATGTCAGCCCGCTCCTCGGCTTCCTCCAGCTCGTGCTGGATCTTGCGGAACTTGGAGAGGTTGACATTGGACAGCTCCTCCTGTGCGGGAAAAAGGAGTTGTGAAAACAACAAGCAGAGTGTGGACGTTGACCATCAGAAAACTAGGGAAACAACAATTTAAATGCCACAGCTGGGCAAGCAAGGCAGTTGCAATAGTTTCAAAGTAAGAAGCTGCTCAGGGCATTAAGTGTGCCAGAAGAGAAAGGATGATCAGAGTGTCAAAAAGGGCAGGGCCACATTATACACATCATGGTCTAAGTGGGGATCATGTCAGACTTGGTAACAGACAGAGTAGCAGCTGCTTCTGACACCCAGAGTAGGGTATGAAGGAAGAAATAGAGGTTGGAAGTGAGGATTAGAGCAAAATAAATAAAGCTGGGGACATATACCTACTTTTGAAACCAGCAAATCTTACTCTTACATTCTCCATTGTATGGTAGTAACAAGTGCATCAAAACCATCAAAGTTTCAAAAAGGTGGACAGAAGAAAATACGAACACAGAATTCCACTTTCACCATAAAGAAATCTGGCCTCAGTCAGAGTGCTACTTACAGCCTCCTCAGCTTGTCTCTTGTAGGATTTCACCTTCATCTGCAGCTTGTCCACTAGATCTTGGAGCCTGAGAACATTCTTCCGGTCTTCCTCAGACTATAGAGAATGGTAATAGAAACTCTTGTTTGCCTCTTACTCTGAATTTCATGAATGTGAAAAAGAGGAAGTAGCAGCATTAATGGAGCACTGCTGTCCAGTAGGACAGAGGTTAAAATCTTGTTAACTGTGTCATTGATTGCAGTATAGAAGGAAATGTCTCTGGAAGGCAATGTGCCAACATTCTAACTTCCTGGAATAAGAGTGTGTCAACACAAAGAAGCCTCTTGCCTCACCTGGTAGGTCAGCTCCTTCACTCTCCTCTCGTACTTGCGCACACCCTTCACGGCTTCAGCGCTGCGCTTCTGCTCCGCATCAACCTCCCCTTCCAGCTCCCGCACCTGCAAGGAGAAGCCCAATGTTGCAGCTTCCTTGGTGTCTCTCTAAGGGACACGTTCACTCAGGCACAAGTACCAGCCCTACGCACTCTGGCCTCCAGCTTCTGGATTTGCTTCTTGCCTCCCTTCAGAGCCAGCTGCTCAGCCTCATCCAGGCGGTGCTGCAGGGCCTTCACCGTCTGGTCCAGGTTCTTCTTCATCCTCTCCAGGTGGGCGCTGGTGTCCTGCTCCTTCTTCAGCTCTTCTGCCATCATGGCCGCCTGTGGAGAACAACAGGTCAAAGTTATTTTTGGTCTGGAGACAGTTTGGGGAAAAGGCAATTTTCTGAAGCCATGGAAGGAGCCGCAACTCACATCTGTGATGGCCTTCTTGGCCTTCTCTTCAGCATTGCGGGCTTCCTGGATGGTATCCTCCATTTCACCCTGAATTTGGGCAATGTCTGTTTCCAGCTTCTTCTTGGTGTTGATCAAGCCGGTGTTCTGTTGAAAAGTATCAACATCACAATTTTGGTTTTGTTAGTTTGCACTATCACATCAAGAACATTGCATAATTTGTTTATTTTTTTTTTTTTAATATAGATTGTGTCATCATGTGGGATTCTGTTATAAATGAGCTGCTATGGCACCTCTAAGTTTCTGAGCTGTAATGTTTTTCAGTCTTTCATGAATATTCTCCATAAAGTTTTTCCTCACAGTTTCTCAGTCAATAGAGAAGGACTTTAGACTTATAAAGGAAAAAAGAAGGACATAATCTTTCCTTACCATTTTCAGTCTAGTAAAATTTTAAATGATGCTGTAGAATACTTATGACATTGATGTAAATGAGATTACCAGTGTATGCGTTTTTGAATTCAGTCTCAAATGTAAATTTGAGAGCCACTGAACTCAGCTTAAGTCCTAGAATAAGAACCTCATGCATCTCTCTGAATGTATTATTTTTAAGGCATCTGCACTGTAATCTAGAGAAATTCTTACTGTATCTGCAGCTGAAAATTCACTTTTTATATCTGTTATCCATACTGTGAAAATTACCGTGCATTTTAGAAAATATTGTTACAGGTTATCCAGTCTTCTCTCCTATATGTCTGGAGTAACAGTATAAATGTGAAATACACTGACCTGGGAATGGAGGAGCTGAACTCTCTCACTCGCATCCATCAATTCCTGCTCAGCCAGTTTCCTCGACCTCTCTGTCTGCTCCAGGGCTGCC